AGCGGATGGCGAGAGCACATCAAAAGGAGTGGAATCGATTAGAAGAGGCCCAGCACGTTGTCACGCCCAACGCGGCGTGCGCACAACGAGCTTTCCGGGAGGGAACAACGGGCAACCATAAATATAAGGCCGGCGAAAGCGTAAACATTGAAACTTTAACACACAGGAAACGGAAGACAAAAAATAGATTTTAGTGTTGAGCGTCTTTGGTCTCGCGGGCCCCACCGCACAGGAAAGAAATGGGACAGAAAACGCAGCGAGGTGCGGCGGTGGGGCCGGCAACGGCTGTGAACAGGCAGGGACACACGCGCGCATCAAGATACGTGCGAGCGCCTGCAGGGACACGCATTTCACACACCTCAAACAATCAGTACTCCTACAGGTAGGCTTTAAACAAGAAGATTACAAGATACATTTAACGAGGTATTAATATATATCGAAACAAGCGTTTTGGGGATCAGGAGGGGGGATTAGCTTTTGATGAGCGCGGCGCTGCTGGCGGGCCTCCTGCGCTCCTTCCCGTGCAGGCAGACCCGATCGGAGGCCCCAGGTATGTGTGTATGTGCGTGGGGCAGCACAGCGCGCAGCTCCGCGTTTCCACACCGATGTGCACGTTGGGAGCGTGTTCTTTACCAATGGTGTGGAGCAGAGCAAACAAGAAAACAGAAGCTTTAAAAATGTAGTCTACCGTATTTTCGTTTCTTTACTGATGTGTGTCGCCACGGCAAAGGACGCCTTTGCGGGTGCATCCCCCGCTGCGTGCGACGGAATGCATGCCGGCACAGGTATGCGTGTGTTGAGGGGCCGGCCCGCACTCGCTACAGAAGTCCATGTCCGATGCACAGCGATCGAGGGGAAGCAAACAAACAGACAGGGGAAAGAAAATGATGATGACAGGCGGCGTGCGTGTTGGCGAGTGCGCCGAACGCCATCTGCCTTCTCGAGGCTCCTCGCTGCGAGTGTGACCGCGCACTCATTAAGCACTGCTTGATGAGCTCCAGCGGGAGGTGGGGAGGGGGAGAGAAGGGTGGCAACGCGTTGCACCCCTCGCCCTGCCGCAGACGCGCACCTGTCGCTCGTACGCGAGAAGAGAGGAACAATAAAAGAGAACGACGCTGAGACTGCGGCGCAGACGGACGATGGACTGCAGGGCGCTCATGCGTCGAGGCGCATCGTGCCACGCAGGCAGCGCCACTCCTCGCTCACAGAGCTCCCCGCTTTGGCCGCACCTTCAGTTACGCTGCGTTAGACCGAACACCACCGATTCTTTTGACGGACGGCACGGCTCGCTCCACCGGGGCCCCTAGACGTCGATGAGGGTGTCCAGCAGGTTGTACAGCGAGTTGGTGAAGTTCTTCGCCGCATTCGCCACCGGCGCCTTCCAGATCGTGTCCATCGTGTACACCTCCACGCTGGCGGTCACCGTCGCCGCGCCGGTGTTCTTCGCGTACACGGCCACGCCCGTCGTGTCGTCGCCGTTGTCGATGTAGAGGCGGCTCGTCATCGTCTCCAGCCCGCCATCCTTGAAGATCTCGATCACGCTGTTGTCCACGTAGATGTGCAGCTCGAAGCCGTTGGGCGTGGCGGTGGCGAACGGCGCGCGGCCGCTCAGCGGACCGGTGGAGCCGATCGACTTGGAGGCCTCGCGGCTCAGGTACAGCAGCGGCTCCCGCACGAGACCGCTGGCGGCGTCTGCGCTGGCCTCCATCGGGTTGATCTTCCAGTACATCTTGCAGCTCTTCGTGCTGGAGAAGTAGGTGTAGGACTCGCAGAGGCGCAGCTTGTTGCACTCGGCGCTGCAGTTCGCCGCGTCGGGGCCGTCGAAGATCTTGATCGCCGGCCAGTCCTCCTTCTGCTGGTTGCCCGGCACCACGCTCGGGCCGTACGGGGGCATCTTGAGCGACACGCTGGCGCTCTGCGTGAGGTCGGCGTTGGCGCGAATCATCACGCCGATCTCGGGGGCGTCTGACCCGTCCGCGGCGTACGTCGCCGTCGCCGAGAAGATGGACGGGTCGGACACGGTGAACTTCGCGACGATCTCGTGGTAGAGGGTGTTGTTCGTGTTGCTGCGGATGATCTGCGTCGGCGTGCTCGTCACGGGCACACCCTCCACATCCACCAGCTTGTTCAGCCGCAGTCCCTTGATCTCCGGCACGGGCTGCGTCTTCAGCTTCTTCTCCGTGCTGTCGTACTCCACCGTGCGCAGCATGTTCTGCACGCCCGACCACCCGTTGGCACGGATCTGGTCGTCGCTCAGCTCATCGTTGGTCCAGCCCCAGATGGTGCGGCGGTTCAGGATGGGGTCGTGGAACGTCTTCGAGGCGTAGAGGGGACCGTAGTCGATGAAGGTGAAGCTGCGTGCGGGATCCTCGACGAAGACGTACTGGCCGAGCTTACTGTCCAGCTGGTAGGAGCCGTACATGATGTAGTCGCGGTGCGAGGGCATGGTGGACACCTTCAGGTAGTGCTCGCCCGTCGGCGCCAGCTTGAAGAAGTCCGGGCACTCGAACATCACATCCAGGTCGTACTTGTACACGTAGAGGCTGTGCGAGAACTTGTAGCCGGACTGGAAGGTGGGGTCCTGCGTGCGGAAGATGACCACGTGCGCGTTGTCGCCCTCGGCGTCGTTGATGCGGGCAACGAAGGCAATCAGCCACTGGCCCGGGTGCTCCGGGTCCTCCCACCACTCCGTGGGGTCGCGGAAGTTGCCGAGCCCGACGACGCCGGGCACGTCGTCCTCCGACAGGATGACGTTGCGCGCACTCTTGACCAGCCGGTCCAGCGTGCGCTTGCCCACGAGATCCGCCTTGGTCGGGCTGGCGAGGCACTGGCGCTGGATGTTCTCCGGCTCCGTGCACGTGTACACCGCGATGGGCTCGCTGTGGTTGTTGTTGATCATCGTGCCCGAGTACACGCCCCACTTGTCGTACCACTTGTCCGCCCACATCGCCACCGGCGACTCGGGGCGTGTCCACTTGACGTAGTCGTCCGACGTGACGTGGTACCACGCGATGTCGCCCCAGAGAGGGCCGTTGGGGTTGTACTGCATGTACAGGTGGATCTTACCCGTCACCGGGTCGCGGTAGGGGCCGTTCGGGTCGTTGATCCAGTTCTTCGGCGGGCGGATGTGGAAGATGGGCTCGTACGGCACACCGTCCAGGGCCAAGGCGAGGCCGGCCATCATGGCCACCGCCACGAGGAGCCAGATCACGCCGCGACGCACCGAGGCAGCGATCATTGGTGCGACTTTTGCCGTTAGAGGTGTGGAGAGGAAAGGAGAGAGCGAGGGGGTGCTCGTTGGGAGTACGTCAGCGAGTCAGCGAGGGTTGCTATTAGTTACGATTCTGAGCAGGGCGGCAGCGGTGCGTTGGCGCAGGTGGTTGGCGGCGGCGACGCGGAGAAGGGGACAAGAGAGAAGCGCAGGGGGCGAGGGACGAGGGAGGAGGGTGAAGAGACGCAGGGCCATTTCTGCGTGTGTGTGTGTGTGTGTGTGTGTGCAGCACCGACGAGGCCGGTCAGCGCATGAAAGCGCGGAAAGGGCGGAGGAGGCAGAACGGCAGAACGACAGCCAACAGGCACCGACGGCCCTCAGAGGAAAGCGAAGACGCTCCATCGTGCGTGCCGTTGTCGCTTCCCACGTGCTTCGTGGCCACCCTCGTGCGCCAACACCGCCGTGCACGAGAGCGCAAAGCACAACAGCGGATGGCGAGAGCACATCAAAAGGAGTGGAATCGATTAGAAGAGGCCCAGCACGTTGTCACGCCCAACGCGGCGTGCGCACAACGAGCTTTCCGGGAGGGAACAACGGGCAACCATAAATATAAGGCCGGCGAAAGCGTAAACATTGAAACTTTAACACACAGGAAACGGAAGACAAAAAATAGATTTTAGTGTTGAGCGTCTTTGGTCTCGCGGGCCCCACCGCACAGGAAAGAAATGGGACAGAAAACGCAGCGAGGTGCGGCGGTGGGGCCGGCAACGGCTGTGAACAGGCAGGGACACACGCGCGCATCAAGATACGTGCGAGCGCCTGCAGGGACACGCATTTCACACACCTCAAACAATCAGTACTCCTACAGGTAGGCTTTAAACAAGAAGATTACAAGATACATTTAACGAGGTATTAATATATATCGAAACAAGCGTTTTGGGGATCAGGAGGGGGGATTAGCTTTTGATGAGCGCGGCGCTGCTGGCGGGCCTCCTGCGCTCCTTCCCGTGCAGGCAGACCCGATCGGAGGCCCCAGGTATGTGTGTATGTGCGTGGGGCAGCACAGCGCGCAGCTCCGCGTTTCCACACCGATGTGCACGTTGGGAGCGTGTTCTTTACCAATGGTGTGGAGCAGAGCAAACAAGAAAACAGAAGCTTTAAAAATGTAGTCTACCGTATTTTCGTTTCTTTACTGATGTGTGTCGCCACGGCAAAGGACGCCTTTGCGGGTGCATCCCCCGCTGCGTGCGACGGAATGCATGCCGGCACAGGTATGCGTGTGTTGAGGGGCCGGCCCGCACTCGCTACAGAAGTCCATGTCCGATGCACAGCGATCGAGGGGAAGCAAACAAACAGACAGGGGAAAGAAAATGATGATGACAGGCGGCGTGCGTGTTGGCGAGTGCGCCGAACGCCATCTGCCTTCTCGAGGCTCCTCGCTGCGAGTGTGACCGCGCACTCATTAAGCACTGCTTGATGAGCTCCAGCGGGAGGTGGGGAGGGGGAGAGAAGGGTGGCAACGCGTTGCACCCCTCGCCCTGCCGCAGACGCGCACCTGTCGCTCGTACGCGAGAAGAGAGGAACAATAAAAGAGAACGACGCTGAGACTGCGGCGCAGACGGACGATGGACTGCAGGGCGCTCATGCGTCGAGGCGCATCGTGCCACGCAGGCAGCGCCACTCCTCGCTCACAGAGCTCCCCGCTTTGGCCGCACCTTCAGTTACGCTGCGTTAGACCGAACACCACCGATTCTTTTGACGGACGGCACGGCTCGCTCCACCGGGGCCCCTAGACGTCGATGAGGGTGTCCAGCAGGTTGTACAGCGAGTTGGTGAAGTTCTTCGCCGCATTCGCCACCGGCGCCTTCCAGATCGTGTCCATCGTGTACACCTCCACGCTGGCGGTCACCGTCGCCGCGCCGGTGTTCTTCGCGTACACGGCCACGCCCGTCGTGTCGTCGCCGTTGTCGATGTAGAGGCGGCTCGTCATCGTCTCCAGCCCGCCATCCTTGAAGATCTCGATCACGCTGTTGTCCACGTAGATGTGCAGCTCGAAGCCGTTGGGCGTGGCGGTGGCGAACGGCGCGCGGCCGCTCAGCGGACCGGTGGAGCCGATCGACTTGGAGGCCTCGCGGCTCAGGTACAGCAGCGGCTCCCGCACGAGACCGCTGGCGGCGTCTGCGCTGGCCTCCATCGGGTTGATCTTCCAGTACATCTTGCAGCTCTTCGTGCTGGAGAAGTAGGTGTAGGACTCGCAGAGGCGCAGCTTGTTGCACTCGGCGCTGCAGTTCGCCGCGTCGGGGCCGTCGAAGATCTTGATCGCCGGCCAGTCCTCCTTCTGCTGGTTGCCCGGCACCACGCTCGGGCCGTACGGGGGCATCTTGAGCGACACGCTGGCGCTCTGCGTGAGGTCGGCGTTGGCGCGAATCATCACGCCGATCTCGGGGGCGTCTGACCCGTCCGCGGCGTACGTCGCCGTCGCCGAGAAGATGGACGGGTCGGACACGGTGAACTTCGCGACGATCTCGTGGTAGAGGGTGTTGTTCGTGTTGCTGCGGATGATCTGCGTCGGCGTGCTCGTCACGGGCACACCCTCCACATCCACCAGCTTGTTCAGCCGCAGTCCCTTGATCTCCGGCACGGGCTGCGTCTTCAGCTTCTTCTCCGTGCTGTCGTACTCCACCGTGCGCAGCATGTTCTGCACGCCCGACCACCCGTTGGCACGGATCTGGTCGTCGCTCAGCTCATCGTTGGTCCAGCCCCAGATGGTGCGGCGGTTCAGGATGGGGTCGTGGAACGTCTTCGAGGCGTAGAGGGGACCGTAGTCGATGAAGGTGAAGCTGCGTGCGGGATCCTCGACGAAGACGTACTGGCCGAGCTTACTGTCCAGCTGGTAGGAGCCGTACATGATGTAGTCGCGGTGCGAGGGCATGGTGGACACCTTCAGGTAGTGCTCGCCCGTCGGCGCCAGCTTGAAGAAGTCCGGGCACTCGAACATCACATCCAGGTCGTACTTGTACACGTAGAGGCTGTGCGAGAACTTGTAGCCGGACTGGAAGGTGGGGTCCTGCGTGCGGAAGATGACCACGTGCGCGTTGTCGCCCTCGGCGTCGTTGATGCGGGCAACGAAGGCAATCAGCCACTGGCCCGGGTGCTCCGGGTCCTCCCACCACTCCGTGGGGTCGCGGAAGTTGCCGAGCCCGACGACGCCGGGCACGTCGTCCTCCGACAGGATGACGTTGCGCGCACTCTTGACCAGCCGGTCCAGCGTGCGCTTGCCCACGAGATCCGCCTTGGTCGGGCTGGCGAGGCACTGGCGCTGGATGTTCTCCGGCTCCGTGCACGTGTACACCGCGATGGGCTCGCTGTGGTTGTTGTTGATCATCGTGCCCGAGTACACGCCCCACTTGTCGTACCACTTGTCCGCCCACATCGCCACCGGCGACTCGGGGCGTGTCCACTTGACGTAGTCGTCCGACGTGACGTGGTACCACGCGATGTCGCCCCAGAGAGGGCCGTTGGGGTTGTACTGCATGTACAGGTGGATCTTACCCGTCACCGGGTCGCGGTAGGGGCCGTTCGGGTCGTTGATCCAGTTCTTCGGCGGGCGGATGTGGAAGATGGGCTCGTACGGCACACCGTCCAGGGCCAAGGCGAGGCCGGCCATCATGGCCACCGCCACGAGGAGCCAGATCACGCCGCGACGCACCGAGGCAGCGATCATTGGTGCGACTTTTGCCGTTAGAGGTGTGGAGAGGAAAGGAGAGAGCGAGGGGGTGCTCGTTGGGAGTACGTCAGCGAGTCAGCGAGGGTTGCTATTAGTTACGATTCTGAGCAGGGCGGCAGCGGTGCGTTGGCGCAGGTGGTTGGCGGCGGCGACGCGGAGAAGGGGACAAGAGAGAAGCGCAGGGGGCGAGGGACGAGGGAGGAGGGTGAAGAGACGCAGGGCCATTTCTGCGTGTGTGTGTGTGTGTGTGTGTGTGCAGCACCGACGAGGCCGGTCAGCGCATGAAAGCGCGGAAAGGGCGGAGGAGGCAGAACGGCAGAACGACAGCCAACAGGCACCGACGGCCCTCAGAGGAAAGCGAAGACGCTCCATCGTGCGTGCCGTTGTCGCTTCCCACGTGCTTCGTGGCCACCCTCGTGCGCCAACACCGCCGTGCACGAGAGCGCAAAGCACAACAGCGGATGGCGAGAGCACATCAAAAGGAGTGGAATCGATTAGAAGAGGCCCAGCACGTTGTCACGCCCAACGCGGCGTGCGCACAACGAGCTTTCCGGGAGGGAACAACGGGCAACCATAAATATAAGGCCGGCGAAAGCGTAAACATTGAAACTTTAACACACAGGAAACGGAAGACAAAAAATAGATTTTAGTGTTGAGCGTCTTTGGTCTCGCGGGCCCCACCGCACAGGAAAGAAATGGGACAGAAAACGCAGCGAGGTGCGGCGGTGGGGCCGGCAACGGCTGTGAACAGGCAGGGACACACGCGCGCATCAAGATACGTGCGAGCGCCTGCAGGGACACGCATTTCACACACCTCAAACAATCAGTACTCCTACAGGTAGGCTTTAAACAAGAAGATTACAAGATACATTTAACGAGGTATTAATATATATCGAAACAAGCGTTTTGGGGATCAGGAGGGGGGATTAGCTTTTGATGAGCGCGGCGCTGCTGGCGGGCCTCCTGCGCTCCTTCCCGTGCAGGCAGACCCGATCGGAGGCCCCAGGTATGTGTGTATGTGCGTGGGGCAGCACAGCGCGCAGCTCCGCGTTTCCACACCGATGTGCACGTTGGGAGCGTGTTCTTTACCAATGGTGTGGAGCAGAGCAAACAAGAAAACAGAAGCTTTAAAAATGTAGTCTACCGTATTTTCGTTTCTTTACTGATGTGTGTCGCCACGGCAAAGGACGCCTTTGCGGGTGCATCCCCCGCTGCGTGCGACGGAATGCATGCCGGCACAGGTATGCGTGTGTTGAGGGGCCGGCCCGCACTCGCTACAGAAGTCCATGTCCGATGCACAGCGATCGAGGGGAAGCAAACAAACAGACAGGGGAAAGAAAATGATGATGACAGGCGGCGTGCGTGTTGGCGAGTGCGCCGAACGCCATCTGCCTTCTCGAGGCTCCTCGCTGCGAGTGTGACCGCGCACTCATTAAGCACTGCTTGATGAGCTCCAGCGGGAGGTGGGGAGGGGGAGAGAAGGGTGGCAACGCGTTGCACCCCTCGCCCTGCCGCAGACGCGCACCTGTCGCTCGTACGCGAGAAGAGAGGAACAATAAAAGAGAACGACGCTGAGACTGCGGCGCAGACGGACGATGGACTGCAGGGCGCTCATGCGTCGAGGCGCATCGTGCCACGCAGGCAGCGCCACTCCTCGCTCACAGAGCTCCCCGCTTTGGCCGCACCTTCAGTTACGCTGCGTTAGACCGAACACCACCGATTCTTTTGACGGACGGCACGGCTCGCTCCACCGGGGCCCCTAGACGTCGATGAGGGTGTCCAGCAGGTTGTACAGCGAGTTGGTGAAGTTCTTCGCCGCATTCGCCACCGGCGCCTTCCAGATCGTGTCCATCGTGTACACCTCCACGCTGGCGGTCACCGTCGCCGCGCCGGTGTTCTTCGCGTACACGGCCACGCCCGTCGTGTCGTCGCCGTTGTCGATGTAGAGGCGGCTCGTCATCGTCTCCAGCCCGCCATCCTTGAAGATCTCGATCACGCTGTTGTCCACGTAGATGTGCAGCTCGAAGCCGTTGGGCGTGGCGGTGGCGAACGGCGCGCGGCCGCTCAGCGGACCGGTGGAGCCGATCGACTTGGAGGCCTCGCGGCTCAGGTACAGCAGCGGCTCCCGCACGAGACCGCTGGCGGCGTCTGCGCTGGCCTCCATCGGGTTGATCTTCCAGTACATCTTGCAGCTCTTCGTGCTGGAGAAGTAGGTGTAGGACTCGCAGAGGCGCAGCTTGTTGCACTCGGCGCTGCAGTTCGCCGCGTCGGGGCCGTCGAAGATCTTGATCGCCGGCCAGTCCTCCTTCTGCTGGTTGCCCGGCACCACGCTCGGGCCGTACGGGGGCATCTTGAGCGACACGCTGGCGCTCTGCGTGAGGTCGGCGTTGGCGCGAATCATCACGCCGATCTCGGGGGCGTCTGACCCGTCCGCGGCGTACGTCGCCGTCGCCGAGAAGATGGACGGGTCGGACACGGTGAACTTCGCGACGATCTCGTGGTAGAGGGTGTTGTTCGTGTTGCTGCGGATGATCTGCGTCGGCGTGCTCGTCACGGGCACACCCTCCACATCCACCAGCTTGTTCAGCCGCAGTCCCTTGATCTCCGGCACGGGCTGCGTCTTCAGCTTCTTCTCCGTGCTGTCGTACTCCACCGTGCGCAGCATGTTCTGCACGCCCGACCACCCGTTGGCACGGATCTGGTCGTCGCTCAGCTCATCGTTGGTCCAGCCCCAGATGGTGCGGCGGTTCAGGATGGGGTCGTGGAACGTCTTCGAGGCGTAGAGGGGACCGTAGTCGATGAAGGTGAAGCTGCGTGCGGGATCCTCGACGAAGACGTACTGGCCGAGCTTACTGTCCAGCTGGTAGGAGCCGTACATGATGTAGTCGCGGTGCGAGGGCATGGTGGACACCTTCAGGTAGTGCTCGCCCGTCGGCGCCAGCTTGAAGAAGTCCGGGCACTCGAACATCACATCCAGGTCGTACTTGTACACGTAGAGGCTGTGCGAGAACTTGTAGCCGGACTGGAAGGTGGGGTCCTGCGTGCGGAAGATGACCACGTGCGCGTTGTCGCCCTCGGCGTCGTTGATGCGGGCAACGAAGGCAATCAGCCACTGGCCCGGGTGCTCCGGGTCCTCCCACCACTCCGTGGGGTCGCGGAAGTTGCCGAGCCCGACGACGCCGGGCACGTCGTCCTCCGACAGGATGACGTTGCGCGCACTCTTGACCAGCCGGTCCAGCGTGCGCTTGCCCACGAGATCCGCCTTGGTCGGGCTGGCGAGGCACTGGCGCTGGATGTTCTCCGGCTCCGTGCACGTGTACACCGCGATGGGCTCGCTGTGGTTGTTGTTGATCATCGTGCCCGAGTACACGCCCCACTTGTCGTACCACTTGTCCGCCCACATCGCCACCGGCGACTCGGGGCGTGTCCACTTGACGTAGTCGTCCGACGTGACGTGGTACCACGCGATGTCGCCCCAGAGAGGGCCGTTGGGGTTGTACTGCATGTACAGGTGGATCTTACCCGTCACCGGGTCGCGGTAGGGGCCGTTCGGGTCGTTGATCCAGTTCTTCGGCGGGCGGATGTGGAAGATGGGCTCGTACGGCACACCGTCCAGGGCCAAGGCGAGGCCGGCCATCATGGCCACCGCCACGAGGAGCCAGATCACGCCGCGACGCACCGAGGCAGCGATCATTGGTGCGACTTTTGCCGTTAGAGGTGTGGAGAGGAAAGGAGAGAGCGAGGGGGTGCTCGTTGGGAGTACGTCAGCGAGTCAGCGAGGGTTGCTATTAGTTACGATTCTGAGCAGGGCGGCAGCGGTGCGTTGGCGCAGGTGGTTGGCGGCGGCGACGCGGAGAAGGGGACAAGAGAGAAGCGCAGGGGGCGAGGGACGAGGGAGGAGGGTGAAGAGACGCAGGGCCATTTCTGCGTGTGTGTGTGTGTGTGTGTGTGTGCAGCACCGACGAGGCCGGGCCAGCACATGTTTGGTGGTCAAAACCGCGTAGTTCTCTTTTGGGGTCGTGCGACACTGTATGGAGTGTTCGACACTGAGGGTAACAGCACGTGCCCGCAGAGTCGTTACGCACGGAGTGCAGCTTTTGGACTTGGTAGTACTACCGTACGCTCCGACGTAGAAGTGAGGGCACCCACCAGTGTCAGGATTGGGGTGCCAGACGCGCAGCGAATCAACAATGACAGAGGGACAAGAAAGAGAAAGAAGAGAAGCGACCTCCCTCTTCCTCCTCCTCCTCCTCCTCCCCATACCAAACCGCAAACGCACACACGCACAAGCAAGTGAATGCAAACACACGTGTTTCAATGAATACACACACACATCTCTCTCTCTTTCTCTATCTATCTATCTATCTATATATGTATAGATAGATGTTCATGATACACGCTTAGTGTGTGTGTACATCGGAGTCCAGCTGGTTCGCACCAAACCGGCGCATCTTTCGAAAATAGGTAGCCTTCTGGCGTAGCATAGCCAGCTCACCCGCACTGTATTGCTCCACCGCATCGTTGGTGCCTTCTCCTTCCAGCAAGTGAAGAATAGGGTCCTCGTAGAGGGCGCGCTCTAGTCTCTTTAAGCTCTTCAGGTGCTGCTCCGCGATGCCGCGCATCTTCATGATGTGCTCCATATGCTCGGGGCTGAGGTCGTTGATCAGGTTCTCCCGCTTCTGCTCAACGTGCGTGATCCAATCGCCGAGGTGGTAGTAGCGACGGACGAGGAAGGCGTCGTAGACGGTCTTGACCGTCGGGTGCAGCGGGGCGTAGCGCTTGTCGAGTTCCGCTGCAATGCGCTCCCGATCGCGTTTAATCCGCTCGATGCGACGGTGGAACTGCGAGTGCAGCGGGTCATCATGCAGCTGCTGGAGGTCGTCGGCCAGGCTGCCGTACAGGTCGTAGACGAGCCGGAGACACGTATACAGAAGCTCGTGCCGGGGGTTGAGGTGCGGGTTGGGGTGCTCGGCGGTGGCCGGGTATTGCATGTGGCGCTGCAGGTAGGTGGCACTGTAGCCGTCCCACTGCTCCGTGTTGAGCCACTGCTGCTGGTCGCCTTTCACCCGTGGCAGGCCGTCCACGCCGTCGGGTTGCACCACGTGCGGGTGGTGTAGATAGCGGTGAAACTGATCACTTGACTGGTGACGACTGGCAATGAAGAAGGGGAGCGCTGGGGCCGCGGTGGAGGAGGAGGTGCTGAGGGAGCCGGAACGGGAGAGGCGTGCACCTCCAACTCCTCTGTGAGAGAGGCAAGACCTGGCGGAGACGAGGGAGGGCAGTCGGCTACACCACGCCGTCGAAAGCACACGCGAGGGAGGCACCGCCGCGCCAAACTTTCTTTCTATAGGCATTTTTTTTTCCGGTTTTGCCTTTGTGAGTCCAAAAAATGAGTAAGGTTTTGTTTCCACAGGGAGACGTTGTCTGCGTGTGAATGTGCGCTTCTGTGTGCGCCAGCCGCGGAACGTAAAGCAACCGAGTTCGCTGCCGTAGCCGGGGAGAAGATCAAACGAAGAGGGGAAGGGGGGGGGGGGAATACAGAAGAGCTGATACCTCCCAGCGGCATCCAGAAAGCGCAGAAAGAGGCCCTTTTTCTTTCTTCCAATGGCTCACCGGACTGCCTCGTTGCGCGCCGTAGCGCTCGCATGGCAGAAGGGAATTCATCATGGAAGTGCACCCCCTCTGCCTTCCTTTCTTTCTTCGGGCGCCTCTCTCTCTCTCTCCCTCTCTCGCCGGGCCACATGCAAGGCCAGCATCCGCGGGAGGCGTTGCACGCGAGAGGGAATTAGACTTGTTTGACTGTTGTCAACGTCGGCTTGTGCCGGCACACACGATAGACCTCATCATACGCTCTTGTCCTTCCAAGCTCTCTCCCTCTCACCCTCCTGCTTTGATTTCGTGAGGACGTTTTTTTTTTCATTTCGGCTGGAAGAGAAAGTACGGTAAAGCCACCGAACAGCGGCGACGCATAGGAGAAGAATCAAAGGGAAAAGAAGAACAGTGACCGGAGACGACTTCACTAGCGAGAGGCAACGGTACCGATTTCTAGGTCCGTCAGAACACCCCAAAGGGGGAAAAACCCCCAAAACAACAACAACAAGACGCCTTCACACGCCACGCGCGCTACCAAATCAACGATAAAGCCCGCACACGCACACCAGAAAGGAATGAGGAGGACAGAAATAATGCCGTGCCGCCGCGCCAAGCGAAGCAACCCCCCCCCACACACACATGCACAAAGAAACGCGCCTTTCCGCGACATCCTTTCGCGTTTCTCCCTTTTCTTCTTCTTTGTTTTGCTTACTGCGTCTCCGCGGCGTTGTGGCGCGGCGCATTTGGACGACGGAAGAACACATCGCGGTGCCCCATCTCCTTCGACTGCTTCGCGTCGTAGAAGGTCTTGTGCATGTCGTCGAAAGGCGTGTAGTACTTCATCGACTGCGGGTTCTCGGCTGTGCCGGAGGACTCCCAGAGCTGCTGCAGCAGGTCCTCCCAGACGGCGCGGCCGATGTTCCACCCGGCCTGGTCGGACCGCGGGCGGCGCCACTCACCGTATTCGCCCACCATGCGCAGCACCGCCTTGCGCGAGGCGAGCGGGGCGTCCCACGCGTTACTGAAGGCGAAGGCGGAGTCGCCGTCCATCTTAAAACGCTGCGCGCGAAAAATGCCATGGCCCTGCGTGATGGTCATGCTCTCAATGACGTTCTGATGGACCCGCATGCGGGCCTCGCGGGTGTGGCGCTGGTTCCAGCTCGGCAGGAAGAAGCCTTTAAACTGGATGCCACGGGCGATGGCGTCCATGTTCGCGATCTGCATCGGCTGGTGGCTCGTGTTGCCGTATGTGACGCACACACCGTTGTCGCCGAGTAGATTCACTAGGTTCGACCCGTAGCCACCGCAGGTGTGGTTCATCAGCAGCTTGGGCGGTGGCACGTCCGACAGCAGGCGGCGCATGTAGTTCGTGCGGGCGTAGTTGTACGGCACCACCGCGAAGGCGCCACGCAGTTTGAAGAACGCGGTCAGGTGGGCGTGCTCCGTGCGGCCGAGCTGCATCGTTTGAAAGAGCTTCGCGCCCTTCGCCCGCACGTACCCCTGGCAGATCTGCGCAATGGAGGACGACGCGCCCGTCTGCAGCACCACATCGTTCGGCTGTATGCTGACAAAGTCGTGGGTGAGGTGGTAGGCAGTGTGAAAGAGGGAGAGGGACGCTAGGTACTCGACGTCCACGTCCGCGCGGCACGGCATCACGTCTAGGTTCTCCGCATCCGTGACAATGTGGGTCGCCCAGCTGCCGACGGTCGGGTTGTTGATCCAGACCAGATCGCCCTCCTGAAGGGCGAGGGATGCGGTGCTGCCCACCTCCTCCACCACCCCGACGCCTTCCACGCCGGCGACGTGTGGCATGCTGACCGACGGCATCGTTCGCGGCCCGCCATGGCCCTCGATCAGATTCTTGTCGTGGCGGTGCACGGGCGCAGCGAGCATCTTCACCACGACCTGGCCGCTCGTGCGGTCGAAGGGGACGCGGTAGCGCTCGTACTGCAGGACCTTTTCGGGGCTGCCGTGGCGGTGGTAGCGCCACCCTGTGGCGGCGACGGTGCGCACCTTGGGAAGGCCTAAGAGATGCAGTGAACTGCGCATTGTTCTAAAAACAAAGTTCCTACTATATTTTTCCTTTTCTTGTTTTTCTTGTTACTGAAAAGACAGAAGAGATGCTCGGTGGAGAAGCCTCGCTAAGAAGCTAACTAACTAAGAAAAATAATAGTGTTGATGTGTGAGGGTGTTGGCGGGAGGGGAGGGAGGGGGAAGGGCCATCAGAGAAGGACGCAACACTCTCAGCGATAAATTTACGCGGGGCGAACACTTCGAGGCACACAGTCAGAGAGAAAACAAACAAATCGAAGAGATTAATAATAATAATAATAATAAAACAAACGCAGACGCTGCACAGAGAGAAAAGCAGCTGCACACGATACGAGTAAAAAGATGTTTCCCTTCCAGCTCAACGATAGTCGTATGAATGGAAGTGGTCGCACTCTGCGTGTTTTCTAAAAAATAGTAATAATACTAGTAATAAAACCAATGCCTTTCTTTTGGTTTGTGGTTTGGGACGAAGTGCGAAGTCAAAGCGAAAAGGAAGAAGAGTTCCAACACTCTCTCTCTGCGACGCTGCCCGTGCGAGGTGATGAAGATGCGGATTTTCACGGCGTCGTGAACACGCGCATGCGGGGTGCGAGAAAGACGGCGCACTCAGCGGTGGTTGTGGGAACCCCAGCAACATCAACAATAGCAAGAGAAAAAAGAAGAAGAAGGGAGAAAGAGGGATGGAGAGAGAGGAAGAAGACGTTGGAATGAAATCGACGCCAACGCGTAATCTGCGAGAGGCAGTCCCCGAGGGAGGAGAGATGCCGCTGGGTGCGGTCGATCGTCACGTACAAACACAGCACAACAAACCGGCACACGGACAGCCATTTGCGTTTCTTTCTTTTCCTTCCTTCCTTACCTCCTAGGAAAGGGAAGGGAAGGGAGGGGGGAACGCATCAAACAACAAACACCATCGTCCTGCTCGCACCTGCTTTCCGACACCTCTCCTGCCTTGCTTTCTCTTTTCTTGTGTAAGTATATACATATATCCGCATTTGCTAACGGTTGCCTTGATGGACTCGGGCGGTGGAGGTGCCACACCTTTATTTCACTATACATTGCAGATCCAAGGCGAACTATAACGCGGAAGCCTGTCGTATACACACACAC